GACAATTGTGTAATTTCGACACCAGAGTTCAAACCTCCCAACCGTTGATAAAAGCTTGAACGCTCCGTTATATTGCCACCGACCAGGGGTAAACCTGGAAAGCTATAATTACGCGGTAAATTCCCAATTCGACCGTTGCAAATACAGTATTCAACTTAAAACCTTTCTCTCCCGTTTGGCGAAGAACCACAACCCCTTACTGTTCTTTCAAAATCTCCCACATTTTCTCTTCCACTTTGCTCTTTTATCCGTTTGTATACAATTTTCATGGCAGATGAGAGCACGAATTCGTGATGATGGAGCCGAAACCCCCACACCCACTTCACCAAATCGCAGAAACGCCGACTCACAAGTTGCTCCTGAAGCAATGGCTCAAAGGAGAAGAGTTGGTCCTCAACAGGGTAGCCCTGAAGGAGACCCAGATTGATTCTGTCCGTGAAGAAATCATGCAGCTCTATATCTTCTTCTTCCTCTTCCACTCCATCGCGCTCCTTCTCCTCTTCAATTCCTCCTCTAGGGAACCTCCCACGGGGGCCTGCCACAGGTCATGGATCCCATCACTCTGTTCACTTCTCTTCTCCATGGGGATAATCTGGGCTGTGCGGTACAAGATGGATGTTGAAGAGCATTTGGAGAAGATGCTGGAGAGGGAGAAAGAGGATGGGAAGTTGTTGGGGAAGTGTGCGGAGGAATTGAAGAAAAAGGGTGTAGAGTTTGATTTGTTGAAGGAGGTGAATGACGCTGAGGAGGGCCAAGAGTATGAGAATGGTGGAGAAGGTTGTGAGGAAATGGTCTAGTAGGGATTTTGTGTCGTTATTCTGCTTCACCGTGTCATGTTTGGTTCTTGGATTGACAAGGGTGATTTTGTGTGGTTGAACTTCAAGCGAATTTGGGATTTTTGGGGAGCTTGATGGGTACAACCTTGCATGATTTTGGAAACCAGGTATGGTTTCCTACTTGTTTTTTATGGGATCTTTGGCAGGAGGATTTATATGGATAGATAATTTGTTTTTAGGTTTGGAAATTAGAAGCAAGTGTAGAATACTCTATTCTGCTTTTGTAATTTGTAATTAGAAGAATGTGATTTATATGGATATATGTTTAAAATTTTAGAAAATTTCCTTTATTTTTCTCCTCTTTGTGCAACTAAATGACAAAAAATAAAATTCGAACATGAGGGCCTTGGTTGGTTTGATGAAAGGGAAGACGATTTCATCTAATTAAATAGTTTTCTTGCAAAGAGAATGTTGGCCTAATGACTTAATCTGATTGGTTGAAATAGTTCCCCCCTCTCAAACCAAACGTGTCCACAGTAGGAATAATAACCAAGAAACAAAAATTTTATCATGTGAAAAACCCCAAAGGGGAAAAAACCCTGGAACCTAATGCAGGTAAAGACGTCCACCATGAGATAACATTCTTACAAAATTTCTACTCTAGTAGGACTAGAGACTTACAACAATAATGAAATCTTCTCACCCAATGAATGCCAAAACAAATGCAGCTACTGCACATTCTTTTGCAGAAGTCTTTTTGAGGTATCAAGATGACCTGAGAATTATGTCAGAAATAAGAACAAAACAAAATCAAGAGCCTTGAAATTGGAACCCAAAAGATTTGCCATTAAGAGAAACTCCTCTGACAATTTGACAACTCAACAGCTTTATTTATGAACTCCGAGTGGCATTTGATAATATTTGATTTTCCTTCCACAAGCAGATGCTGTAGTAGATCTCCAACAACACTAAGTTCATGTGCTTCAATTCCTGGGTAGACAATACTGGGATAACTTGAATCAACTCTCAGCTGGTAACATACATTCAAAGAAATGATAGAAGTTTCATTAAACTTTACATACCTCAAGTCCATTTATTATTGGATTAAGGAAAATTTTGGAACATTCACCAATGCCCTCTCAAATGCGTCTTTCCTCTCATAGGAACAATCATAAGAATCATGAAACTAGACCTTTGATTGTTATTTTGTTGTAGAGACATTGGGTGCATGGCTTCTGCAAAAGGGCATGCATCCAATTAGTGCAAAACCCAGTTCTCAGCTCCTGAAGAAAGGGGGTCTCTTAACCATTCTAACAAACCTTCCTCTCCATCAAAAATTGAATATTTTGAAATGAGATGCAGAAGTTGATGCAAAAAGACTTTTTCTTCTACTGCATACCTCTGAAGAGACCAAAAGGAAACATGTGATTG